TTCTTGTATAACCGATGGCAATCCTTTTGGTCAAGACTCCACACCAATAAATTACATTCTGTAAAACTATCAATCTCCTCCTGGTCAGCTCCATTTCATCGGAACAGACGTTGGGAGACCGCCCTCGCCCGTTTACGCATTGGACACACCCGTCTAACACACTCCTATCTGATGTCACAATCTGATCCACCCTTATGTTCCTTATGTAATGTTCCCCTTTCTATCCCACACATCCTATTATCGTGCCCACGTTTTGAAACAGCCCGTACCTCTGCTTTCCCCCACCTATCCTCCCTTCACCGACCTCCCAACCTATCAGACATCCTTACAGAATCCCACACTTTCTGCATCAATAACCTATTCTCTTTCCTCAAACACATACATATCCTTTACCTAATCTAACATCTAACCTTAACCCTTTCACTTACCAATTCCTTTGCCCAGCTTAGACAATTAACCACTAACTCAACCACCCTTCACTAACATTAACTATAGTGCTACATGACCTTAGATGTCTAGCACATTTATCTTGCTTTTAACCATTAACCATTAACCATTCTCTTTTCTTTTACGTATAGCAGGTTTGGGAAGCATTTGCACACACATTGCCATAGAAGAACTTTGTCTTGGTTTGTACTGTTCTATCCAACACTGCCACTACTTTATACTACATATTGTCCATAATTTGCACTGTACACTTATATTGCAACATCAAGAACTCATTTGCTAATATGATGTTATTTGCTCATGTAAATTGTGAAGGTCAGTGTCTACCGCTGTTAATTGTCCACAGATTGAGAGGAGGACGCTAGACTACACCACTGCTTGATTCGACCCTGCGCCCTGGATCTAGTGAGTGGGTGCATGAGTGTGCTTGTATTGCAGCCCATCTACCACAGTGACGCGACCAAGGTGCGACGATCTGGTTTCCTGCTGCGGAGAAACAGGGCCGGGTGTCTCTATTCACGCCTACGAACTGCGGCCGCTCCCTGCTCGTACCCGTGTATCAGATCGTGCTCTTAGAAAAGCAGTGAAGAAGGTAACTTACAAAATGGTGTGTAGAAACTCCAACAGGGGCTCCGTTCCTTCGTCACGTGCCCCGTTCCTTCGTCACGTGCCACGACGCCTGTCGGCTGTCGAGGAAGCCTCTGGTGGGGATGCACCCGTGCAAGGAGAACCGCAAAATAGTGGCGAGCCTCGAGCTACAGCACCACCAGATGTTCATGATATGCTTGTCGCTGCTCTAAGTCGTATCTCCGTCCTAGAAGAAGTGATAGCTGCAACTAGAAGCGAGAATGTCCGGTGCCAGCCATCGTCGCGGGAAGAGCCGTGGGTCACAGCAACGCATCACAGGTCCCCCATTTAATACCCCAGGAGCCCACTTCGTATGTCTACCCCGCTCATGCTTTGGGTGTTCACCCAGCTGCACCCGCTAGCACCCGCCAAGCTTTGAGTGGGCGAGATGAAATCCCGGTGTTTTACGGTGAGACGCCTGCCTCACAAGCCCATGTCAACATACTACCGGGGTTTGGATGCTGCAGAGCTCCCGGTCTCTTCAGGGAACGTCAGAACCACCTCCCCTTCTGGTAGCTGAGGCTGATTTGACCTTCAGTCTTCACCCGGACTTTGTGCTTAACCCATCGAGCTTGTGTTTCGACGGGAGTTTACTAAACCGGGAGACGTTCTCTTGGGTATAGATCTGCTTCATCGCCTTTCATTTCGACTCGTACATTCACCGACGTCTAGTTTATCAGAAATAGATGGGCACCATCATCAGATTACATATGCCGGTGAGGAAGCAATATGTCTACACGAAGCCCCAGCTGAAGAAGTGCATGATAAGTGTGGCATGAAATTCCAACGCATTTCCCCTGTGCATGCTGCTGAACGAATTGTGATCCCAACCCAGTCAGGATGCTTTGTTCCAGCAAATTTGACACGAGGCATGCCACCAGACGCCCATCTCGCTGTTATACAAGGCAATGCTACCTATTTGACGGTACCGAGGACCCTCATCTCTGTTCACGACCAACGCTCAGGTGGTCGATGAAGATTTGACGGTGCAACGACTCACTGATGCTCGGCGCCTAGCAGAATTCTCCCAGTAAGTTCATGAAACTAACAAGCAGACTCTAGATAAAGGAGCAAAATCAGCGACGGCTTTCGAAGAGGGTTCACTAGTGATGAGGAAGGTTCTAGGACCGCGAGGGGCTCTGCAGGACCGGTGGATCGGCCCATGTCGCATCACTAAGAAATTGGGACCCGTCGCTTTCGACGTATTGGAGCTCCAGGCCACCGACGTAAGGCTCGAGTACATGCAAGCCAACTAAAGCTTTTTGTTCTTCCGTCGGAACTACACTTTTCCTTGTTATTCCGTTTCCTCGGCAGTGTATTAACAGCTAATGTTATATTACGTCTATGGCGTGAGCAAGGTGTGAATGAGAGTGAATGTATCAACAGATCCAGGTCGCAGGTGGGTTTACTTTGGTATCTATATGATATTTGATTTAATGTTCAGTTTTATATTGTTACCTGCACTTCTATTAAGTGTACGTTAGTATTTTGTAACTTTGTTTTATTCTTTTTTACGTTTGCTTTTAGTGTCAATGTAATTTATTTTATTGTCAGTGTCCGCACGTGGTAAGTTGTCATGTTTATAGTGTATCTAAATTCTTAAATTTTATGTTACGATCTGTAAGGTTTTCTCCAGGGTATTTCGTGGCCTAGGGTTAACCGCAGGGAACTAGGGTTACCCAGGTTAATGCATGACTGAATCTAAACTCGTTTTCTTTCACAGATGTGTATGCCTATCTTGTCTTTGTGTTGCAGCCTGTATCAGAATCGACACCTGTGGACAGACGATTTTCCATGCTGGGGAGGGAGCTGTAGTGTCCTCGTGAGGGCCATCGATTTTTAGTTAGACCACCCCCTGTCGTCGTTTTCGCTGTGAGAATGAATATATTTTTCAGATATTTTAAACCATCGTTTCAGCAATATACAGCAAAATATCTTGATATTGTCAAAGGATCTCCCTATGTGTGTGTATATATAGTAAAACCAATAACCATTTGAAATAAATGTTTAAATATCACTGAGGACCCACGAATTCCCGCCTCTCAGCGAATTGATTGCGGCGAGAGGAACTGAGAGGACCTATTTTGTATTACTCTACGAGATAGGTATTCGGGATTTATGCATTTTAGTGGCTAGCGCTTTTAACCGGTGATTAATACGGAAAGGATACGGGATATCATGTAGCTTCCTATATATAAAATAAATAAAATAGATTTTTTTTTACGTGTTTTTCACCTATACCTCCAGTTCCTTGGCTCTGAGTTAACATCCCTGGATGCTCTTCCAAAATATTTAAAGCCAGCGCACGCGTGTATGCGAGATTTGTGTGCGTGTGTATGTAGGAGTGAATTGTGCTCGCGCGCGCTCGTATGTAGGAATGAATTTTGTGCGCGCGCGCATGTGGGATTTAACGTGTGCATGTGTGCAGCAGTATGTCACGATTCCATTTAAAACGCATTTTCTTGCGCTTTCACCTACAACTATATTCTAGTGCTAAAATCTGCCTCGATTCGCATAAAAAAAATTAACTGCACATATTAAGTATAAAATTCAATGCACGGGTAATATTACTTTTTAGTAGGGGCAGGCTATAAAAGCTTTCGTTATATTCTTAGTTCAATATATAAAATATAAATTTTGTCTGTCAACTTTGAAAATGTTCCATAAAAGACCTCGTGCTATTTAGACGATAAATTATAGTTTTGTCATTTACCTCATTATTAGGGGATACTTACCGCTTTAGTGAACCACTTTTCATAATAAGTACATACAAATTGTTTTATTTCTTAAATCCTTCCTATCACTTCCTTGCTGCTGCCATTCTACACTAGGATAATGAAACTAGTAATTATATATTACTTGTCGACCTCTATTTGTTTCTCATTTTATTATTCTCCTAACATACTTCTTTACAAAGTCTCTTGAACATATTTTTTGTCTTTTCAAACGCTTATATTATTTTGCCCATTTTCTTCCCACATACTAATCATTTCTAATTTTTGTTCGTTATTTTAGGTGAAAATTAATAATCATCATCGCTAACCCGTCATACAAGATAGGTCAATAATTACCTGGAATTCTTAGCTTGCGCTTTCATTCACCTAAAATTACATTTCACCAATTATCTGATGGCGAAATTTAGTAATATTTATTTCTTTGTAAACTACTTCACAACCAATATTTCTTAGTCCCAGAGTCGAATTATCCGACTGCTTTATTTAGAAATGAGTTACATTATTCAAATATTTTGCACGGAAGCTCGATTTCCCTTGCCTTTACCAAGTAAATTTATAATCGATCATCTGAAATCAAGGTATTTGTTGCAAAAACTCCCACTATCCTTATGAAAATATGCATGTGATGATTTTAGTTATTTACTTAGACTGACAGCTGGTCGTATCAGCAGTGTCTTCTATGAAATCATATGTATATCATAAAAAATAACGTTTTCATTCTTCCTCCACAAAGATTTTACTCTACAAAACCACAAGTGAATAATTTTTAAAAATATTGCTTTTCCCTTCCCCGAAGAAAATTGAACTAAAATCAAATAAATAACCTTTACCACATCGCTGCTACAGACAGAACGAGACACACGGTTTCCCAAATGTTGTACTATTCCCTCATTTCTCAAAGCTCTCGTTAAAATACAAATTAATTGTCAATTATGTATGCGTTGCAACAATAAGAGAAAACGATAATTGTTTTGCAACGCGCTGGCGGTGATGACTTCTGTCCATCACTGTAAACTATTTGTCACAAAAATAATCACAACCAATACTCTAATTATAACTTTTCTTTTTCACTGCATTGAAGAATAACTAGTAAGGATCATCTATGCTTCAACATACACATTCCTAATTCACAATTTATATATTTCAAATTCAGCGAGAACACACAGACAGCAGGATATAGAAAACTTTGAATTCAATATAAAATATATATTTAACCAAAAAAAATCAACATTTGATACATCATATTCCTTATGCACCTCAGTAGATAAACAATGTGCTCATCAACATACTCCGTTGCCTAAGGATGATCAAAGAATGTGCCCTTCTTAGAGAGGGTGCTAACAACTCGATGCGTGATGTTTACGTGCTGATTTCATGAGTTAAGTGAGGGAGATTGTTAACGTGTGTCCGTGTTACAAATCATAACAAAAAAAAAAGATGAACTGCTCTGTCCTGACCATTCTCTAAAACATTTATCATATGAATGTTCTCGATCGTTGAAGACCTAATGGAGGTGGAAGTGAATTTAAAACAATATTTCTAAAACCTTTAAATAAATTACAAAAATAAATTAGGAGAAAAAATGAAGAGGGAAATCGTAAGTTAGTGTGAATGATAGTGAAACAGTGTCGGTGCATGTCCATGTAGTTGTTAAATGGATGTCTGCAGCGTTTTCACACTGAAAAAACGCTGAAATTTCCCTTAAACTTTTAAGTTAATTTCCTTCACCAAACTTTGAGTCACATTCTATTTCCCTCCACCCACAAATACTGAATGTGAAATATTTACTCTACGATAAACTTCTTGTAGCCGAAGGAGTAAAAAAAACTACTTACCAGTTTATCTCCAAACTTCAGGCTACAGCACTTTCGTTGTACAATATAGATTGAAGGTCACCGACAGTATCCCATATATATTTCATAAAGGTTCCCCCAAAATAAGGTTAAAAGTTCATGTTTATGCTAGTATATTTTGAGTAAATGGTATGTTATTATGCATGTTCTATTCTTGGTATGGTATATGGTTAAACATGTATTAGAGATTTTCATAATATTCACCCATCATATTGAAGAAATCTATAAATACATTCTACCAATTTCTTATCAACAATTTCTTGATGGTATTTGGAGAGTTCTAACATACGATAAACTTCAGAATATGAAAAATATCATAACTGCATTACAGCTCTCCTTTAAAACAATTAATCCATTAACTGGATCATGGTTTAACTTATTCAGATGGGAAATGAAAATCAATTGAACACTCATTATAAAGAATGCTAGAATTTTTTTTTTGTGATTCTTGTACCAAGCCTTTACTAAAGCTATTGAAGGAACATAGAATATGCATTAAAGAAAACACTTTCTGAAATAAGCTCGTAATATACGGCAATTCTTAGAGAAAATCAATACCAATACTCGCTGTAACTTACAACCAAACCATCTTGAGATTAGAGACTGTAAACTGCAAGTTATCCAATCAACTTGAAATCGAATACTCAAAAACTTCTATTACCAACCAAGACTATATACAAGACTTCATTACATAAAAAACTGTTCAGTTTTCTATGAATGCACTATTCTCTTTAATGATATTAAATAAAAAAAAACATTTGTAATAAATGTTAAAGGCGCAAATTTCACCACATTAATGGTGTTTTAAGACAAATTTAGAATATATACAGACAAAAAAAGCTTCAAAACTCAATATATTGCATGGATACCCTCCTTATGACCTTAATGGGCATTGTCATGCAATTACAGCTTTACATTAATTTACTGCTTTTAATCTGTAAAAAATAAAGACCAGACCAAGTATATCCAACCAAAGAAATAACCAAGTAGAAGAAACAGGATGTAGATTAATAAAAGAAAGACAACAACATATATTTCTTCCTTCTATACACAATATGTTTCTCACTAGATCTATATCCATTCCCAGAAGGATCTTCCTTTCTACCAGCGGCAAAATTTCAATATCCGAGATCCATTTGGCTGGGCACACGACAGCACCTCCAACATGACCTGTACTCAAGTGTTACCAGCTTTCATCCTCATTCCACTCAAGCAATGCCCAGCAGCACCAAACCTCTTCACACCCAGCATGCCACAATGCCTGTGTGTAGATGGTGACCACACATGACGAAACCTGATAAACTGTAAAATGTTGGCATCTATGAATTTGGTTGTTCTCCTCTTGTCAAGGAAAGAAAATCAATTCTTGACTTTCAGTATATGGCAAACAATATAAGACTTCTAAAACATTTCAAAAAGTTCCCACAAGTTGCATTTTTTCATTTCTTTAGGAAAAATAATAAATAAATAAATAGTCAAAATATATATAAACAAAGCAATGGAAAGAGTTTGTTCTATGAACTGTTACAAAGTCCATCTTTTAAGACGGCGAGCATTTTCCTTTAGTACAATATATGAATGACTAAAAATGTCAGCATATCAAAGAATGATGTCTTATGTAATTCAATTTAATGATGTATCACAAGAAACAGGGAGAATGTGTGAATAAATGATGATGAAACACACACCTGATAGCATCACTATATAGATGTACATATTTTCACCTTTTCATCAGTAACTGTACACTGGATTTTCCAGAGGACAATAAGAACTGCAAGCAAAAAATAATAAGAATAAATAATATAATAAACATAATAAAGAATAAGTCGAAGTCTAGACATATCGTCACAATTTTTATATCATTCATTTTTTCGTCCCTTTTTTTCCACTTGTGATGCTACCCACAAGCATTACCCAATAAAACCCTGACCAAATGTTAATGACCTTTTGGCCCACTGTTTCACCCTGACCAGCAATTGCAAAAGGTAGCTACATAAAATATTCCTTGATCCTG